GTTACGTTACGGTTTACGTTTACGTTAACTTAACTTAACGTTAACTTATATATATATTACGTACTACTACTACTACTAACTATATAGTAGAGAGAGAGAGAGAGAGAGAGAGAGAGAGAGAGAGAGTCAGAGATGATTCAAGAGTTTTAGAGTACATCAAATGCACCTAACGAGGTCTTTGACCCACAAGACCAAATCTAAAATTTGGTCCTGTGGGACAACGAAATCCTTTTCCAAAGTAAAATGTCTAGAAAATGAATCGACTATTATAGTGGCTCCTCTTTTCTTCTTAACTTCTTAAAGATCATCCCATTCAGATACATATGAAGGAATGAGCAGAGGGCATAATAAAGGAGCACATGAAAGACAAGCCAAAGTAAAGCAAAAAACATCCTCAACCCAAAACCCAGGGTAGCACTAGCCACAACAATACGGGCATATCTGTTATGCATGCCATTCCTGATTCAATACAGTATCAGAACAGACTCTTCAATTATGACCCCTTAGTGCTCTAAGTTAGGTTTTCATTCCATTTCCCAGCTTCCACCAGCCTCCAAAATACACACTAAGGCCTTCACGTCCTAGACATTTACAAGGAGAGGAAATCCCAACAGAGTAAGTAGTATTGATCACATCATTTGCCCCGCTCACCAAGATCCAAGGCGTTTGTACACCCAATGCACCCCTAATTGCCAAAAGGTACACTTTAACATATATAAACAAAAAAAAGTTAATGATAATGTTTCAGAGACTCAACAAAACTCTGATCTATTAAAGGAATTACCAAAATCTTGAACTTCCCAAATATTTATCGTTAGTTCCCTACGAAAATGTATCTTAAGAACACGAATAAATCAAAATACTTCTACACAAAAACCAACTACACTTCAAGGATTAGCACATTTTTCTGAACCTAACATATAAGAGCAGGCACTTTCCTCTCTGATATACAGGATTTCATATAACTAACAACAAGGACATAAAGCCAACTAGAAGAGTTTATTTTTAGCCCAAGTTACATCAGTGGTATCCAGGTGACCTGTGTAATCTTTGGCAATACCCCCATAGATGAATTAAAAAGAAAACTTCTACTAGTAAGCTGCCTTCAGAAAGTCAATAATCCTCTACATTTTCAACATGAAAATACAGCGCTACCATACAGAAATAACATCATACACCAAAAATCAAGGTTATTATTTGAAGCCAAGACAGATGAATAAAAACATTCACATAATCCACAAAACCGCAACTACAAACTTCCTTCAGGGTCAGGAAGCGATAACTTACATCCTCACATTCTCTGAGCTTTTGTTGCGCACCCTCGAAATCATAGTTGATGTACAAGCATTCCAAAAATTCAGTGATGGGATCTTTATAAGTGTATTGCTCTTGCTGAATAACTTTGATCAATTCTTTCAGCATATGTCTTTTCCTTTTGTTAACAATTACAGCAGTGGCAACATAACGGAGAAGATGGTGTGCATTTGTTTGAATGGCATTCAAATATCTGCAAAATATAGATTTTGGTTTTTTACAAAGTACACCTCAAAAGCATTTCATCATAAAATAACCACATTTATTCAACATAAGGCCGTAAATTCATGCATTAAAATTATACCAAACGTTGGCATTTATAATCAATATCACACAAATTAAGGGCTCAAAAGGACAAACTTAAGATTTTGCACAAGTTTAAAAAGGAGATGGGCAAGCAAGAGTACAAAGCGCATTTGTAATCAATATCACACATTAAGGGCTCAAAAGGACGGACTTTAGATTTTGCACAAGTTTAAAAAGGAGATGGGCAAGCAGGAGTACAAAGCTACAAACCTGTCTTGAAAAAAAAGATCAATGATTCCATTTCGACCATTTTCATGATTAAAGAAAATGAAAAGGCTCCAATGCATTAACCAAATTCTGTTCTGCAATTGATTCAGCGGTGACGCAAAATTCTGAAACATAAACAATTAAATTAACAAACAGCTTGCATATGACAACAAGACTAAAACCATGTGAACAAGAAATAACCGTCAATGAACAACCTTCGAATCAATTATCTCTTTCAATCGATTAAGTTCTTCAAGAGCAATTTCCCAGCTCTGCATCAGTATCTCGGCAGCCAGCTTTCCCCATAGAGCACTCAAGCTCCTATCACTGTTTGTGCATAAAGCTCGATACTGGTACAAAAAATCCGCCGCAGCAGAGTAATTTCCACACTCAAATTGGAACTTTGCATACTGGTATAAAGCCTCTATCTGGTCTGGACCAATCTGTTCATAGCAGCCAAAGCATGAGTTTCATAAGTCAAGTGATCATGAATCATTAAAACACATGGAAAGGAGCATGGTAAATGCTAAATAGGAATATGAATTATGGATAAAAATAGCTTAGGAAACATTGGTTATTATAAAAGGAAAGAAGAAGAATAAATGCACCCCCCAGTGCAGATTTCCAAAGACACTGAAGGCAAAGAGAGTAGAATCATTTCAAGAAACACAAGGTAGTTACAAACTGAATTTAAGTACTATAGACAAATAGACTCCATAAAGACTCCGTAACGAAAATATCTATTCAAAAGCTGAGGATTCTCGGATATACTCCATTAGATCTACATATCTCAGACTTTACACTGATGCCTTACCTCCTTTCTCTAAATTTAGAGAATGGAGTCCCCGTCCAAGGTCACTACTTTCCCTCAGCTAGCTTTCAAAAATAAAATTGCAGAAGTAATCCTTTCCCAAATAATTGTTTTTACCTTACAAACTTTTCTTCCATTCAAGGAGGCTACAGAATCTGTGACCATTTACTAAATGCAAATACAATAGGGAAATTTGGTCAAGTAATTAGAGATCTCTATTATTTGCTTTTCTGATAGTTAGATTAGATAGTACTTGATCCTTTAATATCGAATGGGTAAAGAATAAAACTCTAGCTCGGTAAAGGTATTGAAGAAGCACAAACTCGCATTAAAGAGAAAAGAATGTATAGTTGTCGGCAAGTTTGGCAAACTTGACTCAGAGGAGGAACGGGGCTTGTGAGAATCAGCTCAACGCATCTCAAGTTGACCAACCGAGTCAGCTCAGAGTTAGCTGAAAAAAGCCAGAAAAAATCCTGAAAAATACAAACAAAATTGTCAAAAAAAAAAAAAAATGAATGAACTACATAGATTATATGCTTATATAAAACGTGATAAGAAATTGATGTCATTGGCTTGTATTCATTGAAATTCACGTGGATATCTCTTCCCTTTGCCCTAAACTTATCAATCAGTTGCCTAAGTAGGAAAATAGCCTTGATTGTTGAGCTCCCTAGCATAAAACTGAATTGGTTTTCTGATACACTCATTTCATGCCTTAGCAGTTGCTTAATCACTCTCTCCCACAGCTTCATAGTGTGGCTTTGATACTTCGATAGTTCACACAATTTTGTACGTCTCCTTTGTTCTTGTAAATAAGTACCACAGTACTTTTCCTCAATTCATCTGGCATTTTTTTTTTTTCACCACCTTGTTGAACAACTTGGTCAGCCAGTCAATGCCGATCTCCCCCATGCACTTCTAAACCTCTATTGTGATACCATATGGTCCTCGAGCCTTTCCTGTCTTCATACTCTTCTTTCAATTCCGAAATCCTAATCTTACAAATGTATTTATAACCTCTGCCCTAATTTATGCCAATGGTTCCTTCCACGGTTGCGTTCACATTGTATTCGTCATTTAATAATTTTTGAAAATAAACTCTCCACCTTTTGTTGACCACTTCATCCTTCACCAAGACCCTCTAATCCTCACTCTTAATGCATTTAATATGGTTGAAATCTCTACACTTTTTCTCTCTCATTTTGACTAATTTGAAGATATCTTTTTCACCATTTTCTTGTACCCAATTTACTTTATAAATTATCATATGCCTTAAGTTTAGCCTTACTATTGGTTTAGTGTTTTTCTTAGCATTTTTATATTCTTCTAAGTTTTGATCATTTCTATTACATTGTCAAGTTTTATAACATTATCGTTTTTCACAAAAGTCTCTCGGGTATTACACACAATTTGAAAAAGAAGCAAAAAATTAATCTTATAAATTTTTGATAGAATGAAACAAAAATACAATAATAATTGAAATATTACTAGATTGAGTAATATAAATCAGAAATAAAATCAATTATATTAACAATGAAATAAAAAAAGAAAGTTACACAAACTTTCAAGCCTGACCCTCCAATCTTTGCACTCATCGGAATGACCCAATCCTCATTAAAGGGTCTTCAAGCACCCAAAATCAAAATCCCCATACCATAATTAAGATTCGAATTAGATCTAGTTGATCTGAGCTATTGAAACTTTAGGGCACGGTACATCAGAAATAAAAATTTTGAAAATCTGAGAGTTTTAGGTATTCTTTTTTCTTTTTAGAGAAACAAGCCTGTGAATTGATAAACCCAAAAATTGGCTTAGGAAACGATTTTTCGTCCAAACCAACAGTTGCAAAGAAATTGCAACTGTTCAAATTCCGCCAAAACCCAATTCAAAGTTTTTGATCTCTAAAATCTATAAGATCTAATATTTTTTGCTCAAATCTGATCTATCTATTGATAGGTCGTGCAAAAACGAGCATAGCCCCAAAATTTGAGCTCAAATCGTTGCTTCTATGATGAAGAATAAAGAGAAAAGGGGGCTGCATTTTCAATCCCCCATATTTCGGAAGTTTTATCGAACTCGGTAAGTTATGATAGAGTTTCCAAGTTACTCGAATTCATCAAGATTGTACAGTTTTCATGCAAATGGATATAGTAACTCATCGACATCTTTTCCACCTTATCTTGTCCCCAATTCATTTTATAGATTATCATATGCCTTAAGCTTAGCCTCACTTACTATTTTCTTAGCATACTTCTTGGTATTTTTATATTCTTCTAAGTTTTGATCATTTCTATTCTATTACCATGCTATGTAACATTATTTTTTTTCTCTGATAGCCTTTTGAACATCATCCCTCGACCACCAAGTTTCCTTACCTGCCCTGAATGTCATTCCCCTCAAGATTCTCCTAAAACTTCTTTTGCGATTTTCTTAATACAATCAGCCATCTCATTCGATATAACATTAACTTCTTCCTCGGAATTCCAATTTCCTCCTTTTATCAATTTATTCCTAAAAAAGACTATTTTCTCCCTTTTAAATTCTACCACCTTGTTCTTGAACACCTATTAATCTTGCTCCTCTTGGATCTCTTTATGCAAACATCTATAACCATGAACATGTGTTGCGCGGTCAAACTCTCTCTTAGGATAATCTTACAGCTTTACATGATGGCCGTTCTACCTTCTTCACTAGAAGAAAGTCTATCTGGCTTTTATATGACGCACATTTGTAAGTTAGTAAATATTCATCGAACTAATTCAAGTAGGCGTTTGCTATTGCTAGGTCGTAAGCCATAGCAAAATCAAGAATGGCATCACCCATCTCATTTCTTTCCCAAATCTATATCCTCCATGTACCATTTCACATCCTTGATTATCTTTTCTTACACAATCATTTAAGTCCCCTCCTAAAAACATTCTCTCTCCATTTGGTATTCCTTGGACTGGTCCATCCATGACTTCCCAAAATTGTCTTTTAATTCTATCCTTTAGTGCATAAGCACTAATTACATTAGTTATTTCTCCCCTAATACAAGTTTAATTAATAGGAGCCTATCACCTGCTCTCTTAATAATAATCTTTATAATAATAACATTCTTATTACATTAACACTACTACTACTATCAATAATCGTAACAGTAATAGCAGTAGCACCAGCCGCAGTAATTATTACTTCTTGTTCTTCGTCTTCTTCTTCTTCTTCTTCTTGTAATAATAATAGAAGTAGCAACATACAGCAGTAGCAACAACAATAAGATTGAATTCCACCACCTCAGTTGTCAAGATCAATATGCTTCAGTATTTCATGTGCTGGTGCAACAAGATGTATTCCATTTCTTTGTAACCTTCAAATTGAAAAAAAAAAAACACTTATGTATAAGTGGGCCGAAGTCCACCACCCCCATGTGTCAAGAAAAAGTTAAGATAGTGCTCCAGAGGTAATCTTGGTCCCAAAAGGTTTGGCAGTGCACATAAACTCCAAGTTATCATTTCAAACTTCCTCAATAGAAACTCATAGTATTTCCACCACCTACAAGTGGGAAAATAAGGAAATTAATAGCATTTAATATTGGTAGATTCATCCTATAGGAAGGGAGAGAGAATACTCTTACTTGGGTATCCGAAATTGTGAAGAGATCATCTTAAAATGTGTACATGAATTTATTTAAGAGCAAGGTGCAAGAACCAAATACTTGAGACAATATCGGAGAAAACAACAAATCCTTGGGCACCATGGTTCACCACGGTGGCTTTCTAAAAAGACTAACCACTAATGATATAATCCAAATTTAGATGTCCTATGTTGCAATTGGTGCTCCCAAAGCAAAATGGATTTAAAGAAACAAGATCATGCCTCTTTAACGTGTTGTTACTCAAGACAGATACCGCAAGCAATCAAATAAAGATTCAATACCAGGAATATCAATCACCCAAACATTCAAAAACTTTTCATATATTGGTTCAAAAAGTACACCAATAAGCTATTCTTCAACCTTTCATGTGCCTCAACACCTACATAATTTGGGGCATATGGCAAGAGGAACCGCCTAGCATATGAAGGCTACTCATCCCTCATCCATATGGTCACCCATAATACTCTGGAAAATCCAGAATTGCATATGGAAGCCAATATAAACTCACCAAGAAATCAAACAGAAAAAAATAAGAGATGAGATTTATCAATAGATCTTGTACAGGAGCAAGAACGAGTGTGCAATAAGACTATGAAAGCATCTTAAGTCATAAGAGAATGAGTCATATCCTTCTTTATATCATATAAGGAGTCCACCCGTATACATCATACATTGTGTTCAGCAATACAACAAGATGGTACCAACAAAACCAAGGCTACCTAGTCAAAAAAATAATATTAATTAAAATGAGATGCAGGACCTTTGGCATGCATTGAGACTGTTTGGGTGCAGCAAGTCCAGTACTTGAAGGAGTGAGAATCCTAACTACAGGTACTGGGAACCAATTATCATAGGAGACTCATTGAATGTCATTAAATAGTAGAGATGTCTCACATTTGAAGAAGAATTTTCCCAAGACACAAAATTTGACGATTTCTTGTGTTTTGAGTTGTCTATATGTACTGCAAGAGACCCATGGATTTCACATACGAATCTAACTTAGGTTTAACAAGGAATGTATGGGGGTTTTGTACTTTCTGCTGACTTATCCACCTTTACTTAAACTCCTTAACCCCAAAAGGAAAAAAAAGGCACGACCACCAACTAATAAATCCTACTCCCTACCTCACTTTACTTTTAGATAGTCAACAACAATTCCAAAATGCTTTCCATTGTCAAAACATACAGGGGGAAAAGTCTGATAATTATGGAACATTAATAGTTTTAACATTACATTTTGTATTGGCAAATTTGTTTCCTTGCATCTAAAGGTAGTGGATGTAGAAATGTCTAGCATTAAGGAGGCAGAAAAATGAATGCTGCTCTCCGTTGAAATGAGGTTCCCCAATGAAAACAACAACAGGGTAGAGAAGAAGCAGGAAGTAGAGCAAGAAACCAAGGCCGGAAAAGAGATGGTGAGTTTAGGAGACAATATTATGAACTATGTATCGCAACTTTTGATGCAAGTTGCAATATGAGAAAGAACAATATTGGTTTGCAGGGTACCTAGACCCTACAAAGAGATTTCATGCAATACATGTGTGCCACAAAGGTATCCTTCCATACATAAGTGAAGGAAACATGCAGGAAGAAGGGCAGCACACAATCCTTAATTTCAGGTGCCAAACGAAAACATCATAGGAGGCCCTAAATTTAAGTACAGATGACACGATTTGCGTATCTTCATGAACTCATAGAAAAATTACAACCCCATACGAATATCTCACTGATATTGTCCATTCAACTATAACTCACAAACCTATCACTTGCTCAATGGAAATGGAGATCTTTTTCTTTTGTTTTCATGTGGAGGTTCTCTAAAAATAATTTGAAGCAGGTTTGCATAACACCTTAATGGAAAGCTTTGGACAATTTGGGAATGATGATGAACTTCCTATAGGAATCTCGCATTGAAAAGAAGCACAAATCCCAAGCCCAAATAGTAAATTTTCGTGCGAGCCTCTGTGGCTAAAGTTTCACATGATTCTATAATAATTAACAATAAAAATTGATTCCATAAACAAGACTTGGAGAAGAAAGCCATGGTCAACAGCCAGAAGTTTGCCATTATTGCATACTCAAGCTACAAAAGCAGTGACCAGCTCAGAAAACACATACAAGTCCTCAACTAATTGCTTACCCAACAGATCAGTTTATGAAAACCAATCAAAGATTAGGAAGAACAACAATTATCTATCGATCCGGCATTGTTCAAGAATGGAACACATATAGAAGAAGTACATCATCCATGGAAAAGACTATTCTTTCAGAAAGAGAAGCGGACAAGCCCTGAGCTAGTCCTACCCCCCATGCAATGAAGAGCTTTCCATGAAATTCCATTCCTACGCTAGAAAGTTTAGGTTGCAAACCTGAAATCTATCATTTAGCATTTGAAGGTTGTACTGTTTATCAGGGCGAAGCTCCTGAAGAAGAGCAGGGTTCTGCAGAAAAGAGACAAGAGGTGCAGCAGACTCTTCCAATGATTTCAGCCGTGCCACCACCTCAACTCTCCTATCAATCATCTCTGTTCCATCAAGCAAAACACCAAAGAAAACACTAAATAACCATGTTCTAAAACTCACAGAAGAAGCGCTAGTAAAGGAGGGAGAGAGACAGCGAGAGCACATGGCCGCAAAGATAAACATGGCAGAAAACATATGGAAGAGGGACAAGATAACCCCAGAAGGAAAACCCATACCGAGAAAGAAGGTAGAAATTGGAGAGAGAGAGAGAGAAAGAGGAGGGCAAACTAACCCGGGAAACACGAGAGAGAGAGAGAGAGAGTCGGGAGAAATAGATAAAAGGTACACAGAGAGGAACGTAAACCTCGAAAATAGATGATAAAAATTAAGAAAGAGAGAGAAGGAGGTAACCTTGTGGAACATCATCCGAGCGATAAAGGTTTTTATGCATATCCATGGCATAATCGACCATGTTGGTCTCATTGAGAAGCTCGATCTTTGCTTTGAGTATCTCCTCATCTGCGTATAGATGCCTTTCTTGGAGAAATTCGAGGAGGGGAAAAACCAAGTGGCGATCCAGATGGGGAGCAATCTTCGAAGTAAGGTCGTACTCAGACATTGTAGCACCAGCTATTCTCTCTCCTCTCACTTGCTCTCTTCACCCTCTCGAAAACGCTATCCTCTCTCTCTAGAGGTTATCTTATGCGTTAAAATTAGGGTCTCGAGCTTCTGCAACACTCGGAGCTTCAGAGAGGGAGAATCAGAGGATGCTGTTACAGAAACGTAGTGCTGTATGTGTTAGAATTAGGGTTTCTAACGTACAGCTTATGTGTATGCTAGTCGGTACACAATCACTACATGCACAGCAATTTATCTGAATCGACGGTTAATATTGCGGAGTATCGTTCTTGTACTATAATATCAGCATTTCCTTGTTTTTTTAGAAAGTATCTTTGGATTGATTCATGTGATAAAATATGGGGTCACGGGGGTTCACATCGTCTACAAGTAGAGTAGACGGTGATAGAATGGAATGTACAAATGAACCCCCATGAGTCCAAAATTGGCCACCCTTTCTACCTTCTATATTTCATGTGGATCATAGTATTTTTTTACTACATCACTTCAGTTAAAAGTTAAGGGAAAATATGAGCCCATTTTGGTGAACTATTTCCCCGAAGACCCATGGTTTAAAAACTTA